AATTTGCAGTAAGTTTGTACTTTGAAAAGTGCTGCTGTCTTTACTCTGAGGAAGTCCTCTCTGTCTCACTTTGCTCTTTTTTTTCAGGCTTAGGAGCACTGTCTCTTAATAGTGCATTTGCTGGAGCTCTCTGTTTCAACCTAGGTAGTGATGTCCCTCTTTCAGCTACCTCTGAGCTACACTAATCCAAGAAGAAGGGATTTATCTTGCTTACCTTCTAACAGGAAAAAAGCTTGAAGTAGTGTCACCTGAGAAGTGTCCCTGATTGGGTCAAAAATTGTTTGTGTGCCATTCCAGTAATCCCCCTTCTGAGCTGCTAAAATTAAGCAGCACAGATTTACCTATTGATCATTCCATACCCACTCTTTGGTAGCAGAGCAGCTCTGGTGGAAGCTTACATCATGTCCCCTCTATCGTACAGGCCACAAAAACACTTTGCAAATTGTAATGTATCATATAAATAGGCTATTATTGCAATTGTGTTACAGCAACCCATTAAAGAGTAAGTCTTTCTCCATAGATCATACCAGTCCCTGTTCCTTTAGGATGGGACTTTTGTGTGGATGACTTTGGGGTTAATTGTCTTCTTGTGCCTTGTAGTCATTAAGAGGTTACCAGACTGTAGAGGAGTATAAAGGAGACATCAACGTTTTAGGAATAATCTTTCATTTAAAAAAAAATGAACTAGGCATGGTGATGCATACTTACTCATTACTCAATATTATTGTTTGATACTGTGTCAGATATCTATCTACTATTAGAAATAGTAGCTGTAACTACAGTGCTGCTATTCTCAGCATAATGGCAGAGGGTGCTAAAGAAAATTATAATATATAAAAATGTTTATACGTGGAGCTGGGTGCCAGTGGCTCATGCCTGTAATCCTAGCTATTCAGGAGGCAGAGATCGGGAAGACTATAGTTTGAGACCAGTTTAGGCAAATACTTTGTAATTCATAAGTAATCCCAGCACCTGGGAGGCTGGGGGTTTGAGGCCAGCCTGGGTTACACAGCAAGACTCCATCTCAAAAGCACAAACAAAAAAAATTAAAAATGGGATGTGGTGCTGATTAATTTTGGGTATATATTATTACCTATGGCTTTAATCATGCATAAATGTCTTCAAATTTTAAAAGAAAAAAATCCCCATGACCACAACTGCCTATATACTAGGTGGGTCTAAAACATAAATAATTAATTTACAATAAACGATCTACTCCTGTCAAATCAGCTGGCTCTCCCACATACACCTCCATCCCCCTCCACCTTTGGTGGGATTGGGGTTTGACCTCAAGGCTTCACATTTGCAAAGCAGATACTACACCACTTGAGCCATACCACCAGTCTATTTTGCTGTGGTTATTTTGGAGATGAGGTTTACAAACTATTTGCCAAAGCCCGTCTCAAACTATAATTCTCCTGATCTCTGCCTCCTGAATAGCTAGGATTACAGGCATGAGCCACTGGCACCCAGCTCCACATAGACCTTTTTTTAAAAACATTTTTATATTATAATTTTCCTTAGCACCCTCTCCCATTATGTCGAGAATAGCAGCACTGTAGTTACAACAGCGTAATTTCTAATAGTAGGTATCTGACACGATATCAAACAATAATATTGAGAATGATAAATAATGAATAAATGTCAATATTAATTTTTAAATATGCATGTCAAATTGCATATTGTATTAGAATTTAAACTAGGTAAACATTGTATATATGCCATATATTTGTTTGTATAAATGTTTGTGTGTGAGGGGGATAAAATTGGGAAGATTATGAAGAAACAAAAAATTACTGTACAGTTATATTGAAATTATGGGTTACTTTAAAAAAATCCCTTGTAAAAATTTGAAGTCTATTTAGTCATAGAGAAAAGTGGATGTCTTTGGAGTTATATCTCCATGCTATTGAGCTTTTTTTCACTCTTTTGTGATTCTCACCTCTGCCTCTCTAATGTTCAATCAAGTGTTTAAATGTTTGAAGTTGTGCTTCAACTTTATTCCAGCTATTAATTCTGGATATGATGAAAGCAGGGTCAATATGCAAATCCTGACTTTTCTTCTTATTTCATTTCTCTGATGTGAGATCTGTGTTGTTAAACCCTCTAAGGATCAGCCTTGGCTCACGTTCCCTGATTCTCTCTTTCTGTGTGAGTGTGGTGAGGCAAGTCTGGTCAACAATAACCTGCTCACCTTTAGCCCTAAATTTTGTTGTGTGGATGACCCAATCTAAGACCTACCTTGGTGAAAAATATAGTCTTCATTTGTGTATCCCATAATTCCACTTACACCGCCAAGTTATTTGCCCTTTTATGGGTATACTTTTTGCCTTGTGAGTCATGCTCCAGGAAATTTTTGCTTTCTTTACAGTAAGATTAAAAAAAAAAAAGAAAGCCTAAAAATTTAGAAACGTGTTGCCCAGTTCCTAGCAGCTTCCATTTTACTTTTGAAAATGTCATTGCTAATATATAATGTGTACGGAGGCAAAGTATGTGTCAAAAGTATAGAATCTTGTGATAGAATGATAAATCCTGAGTTAATAAGGGAGGTGTTGATGATAAAAATTGGGGTGGAAGAGAAATAGACTAAGTCAGTAGTACACATCAGTGGATCTGCAATGCTTTTGTTGTTAAGGAGAACAAGTATGTTACAACATTAAGATTTGAAAGAGTTGAGTGGTAGATAGCTATGCATTGTTGTACTAGTTTCTATTTTTGCATATGTGCATGGACTACTTCACAATCTTACAGAAACCAGCAATGAGAGAATTTTAGGGGGAAGGAACCCTTACAAAGTAGGAAGTTGAGAGATACAGGTTGTAGTTAACAGAACAGGAAACAAAGTTAAATATATTACATAAGTTACAAAGAAGAGCTAAACTGAGTGAGTTACCTAAAATTGCAATAGAGGAACTAAAAGTGAGACATCCACACTGGGAGGGAGGAGGGTATTAGTGATTAAGCTCTCATCTTTCAGAATAGGAAGGAAGTCCACAGATCAGATAGTATGATAAATGAAGAAATGGCAATATGACTGTATTATTTACAGATAGGGATGTAACCACTCAGAAGAATTAAAAAATTGTAGCTGTTAAAGAGTTAGACTTGGTGTAGGGTTTAAGTGGAACACAAAATGGCGTAATGAAGGCAAGATGGAGCAACAAAGTGTTCTTGCATTTCACAATAAGGTTGTCAGCATTATTGGGTTTTTGTTTGTTTTGGTAGTTTTTGTAATCATGTGCCTATACTACTTTGATAAAAGTATTGTTTTCAAAAAAAAAATAAAGATCTGGGGCTATCACTAAGTTCTAGAGACTTGCTTAGCATATGTGAGCTCTCTAGGATCAATACCCAGCATCAGAAAAAAAAAAGGGTTTTATTTGTTTGCTTGATTGTTTGATTTAATACAATAGTAAGGCTATCAGACCCAAAAAAATGTTCTTATCTTCAATACTCTGAGTTGCAGCTCACTTCTTGAGCTATGTTGCACGCTCACTAATAAATTATTTACATGTTAATCTTTTAGTTGATAGCCTGGAATTAACTTTTATTTGTCTTCCTTTCTGTGTCTTTTCTTTCTCTCCTCTCTTTTTTCCCTTTGCAAACATTTTAGAAATGATTTATCTAAACTTAAAATTTGAAGATGATCTATTCATTATGGAAAGCTTGCTTCTGCGAGATTGTTAAATGAAACAAGGAAGGCTCTTACAGTCAAGGGAGTTTAAAATGTGCCTTTAACAAATAAATAGGGACAGAAAGTAGTGTTGGGAACTTGGGAGAGTGTGGAGAGCAACTGTTTAATCGGGAGGGGGATGAAAATGTTTTGGAATTAGAGAGTGTTGATGGGTATACATCTTGTGACTGTACTAAAATCCCCTGAACTATGCACTTAAAAAATGAATTTCATGGTATGTGAAACACCTCAATATAAAATGCCTATAAAATATTGCAAAAAAATAAACTAAAATGATAGTCATTGTGTTATACTTATAGGTATTTTTTTCTAGCATCTGTTTTCCTAAAGTTTTGGTAATATTGTATTGCTCTCATATTTTAGGAAATATTTTAAAGTAACAATCATAAGCCTTAGTGTTCAATATCATATTCATGTGTCTAGTTTTCCTCTTAATTCCACACTTTTTATTTTGTCATGTACTCTAGAGTATAAAATTGTTCACATTTTAATGTTTTCTTTGTAATTTGGGATTTTGTGTTACTCTTAGAGTTTTACTTTGCTGAGGTTATAAAAATGTTTCTGTGAGTTTTTCCTAGTACTTTTATAATTTGCTTTTGTTTTCTGTGCTAGGGATTGATGTTAGAGCCGTGCATGTGATAATTATGCAGTTGACAACTAAGCTATACCCCAGCCCTATAATTTTCTTTTTCTTTAAAAAAAATGTTTCAGTCACTGATCTTTCTGGACTTTAGCTTGCTGTATGATATCAAAGACAATTAATATTGTTTTTCTAATCAACTTGTCATAAGCAAATTCATTTTATTTTATATACTTATTTAGTACTGCCATCTTGGTGGAATGCTAAATACATACATATACGCACATGTGCACATGCACACACAAATCTCTCAAAATAATCTAATTTGTTCTGTTGATTTATTGCCTATTCTTACACCATGTACCATGCTGTTAATTTTTATGTCTGGTAGGACAAACTTTATCTTCTTGTAAGATCCTTTAAATAAATTCCACAAATAAGTAAATAAAATTTGCACCCAAAAATGCTGAATGACTTATCAATTCATGTATCATTTAGAATGTGAACTCAGAGAACAATTCCTCTCTCTCTCTCTCTCTCTCTCTCTCTCTCTCTCTCTCTCTCTCTCTCTCTCTCTCTCTCTCTTTCTCTCTCTTTCTCTCTCTCTCTCTCTCTGGTACTGGGGTTTGGGATTTGAACTCAGGGCCTCACACTTGCTAAGCAGGCACTCTACCACTTGAACAACTCCATCAGCCAATTTGATCATTTGGTCATTTTATTTAACAGATTTTTATTGAGCACCACCTACTACATGCCAGAGGTTATTCTAGCTTCTGAAGATACAGCAGTGAAGAAAATACAACAATCTAAGTCTTCTTGGAGGTAACACATTCTCAACATTACTATTCATTTTCAAATAGGTATATACTCCACATATCTCTACTAAATTTCCCAATTTTTAGAAATAAATTTTAATTCTTATCTCGGCATAATTAGAATTGGAATCTTACAATTTAGATTTCACAGCCTCTTTTTGTACATATATATATATATTTTAACTCTATATTTTCATTTCTCTTTTTTTATGCAAAACAATCTCTCCACTTCAAGTTTGGCTTCTAAAAACCCCTTTGTGGGAGTATGCATTATTAAGGGGCTTAGGACTTTATAAGAAAAAATTAGTTCAGAAAAATCAAGGTCACCATTAAACTAGAAAAAAAATACATATTTTCCTTAAACATTTATTAAAAATAAAACAATACATCTGACATGTTATGCTTCTACAATTAGTGGTTAATGTCCACTCATCATTTCTTTCTTTGGAGGAACTTTCTGAAACTTCTCTTTTTATGAAGTTTCAGTAAAAAACATAATGGTTTTATTTCGTAACACATAATATTCATGACGAGTCTTTTCTTTCCCTATTCATTTTGATCAATACATTACTGATTTTTGACTTGGAGTAGTTGACTTCCACTTTCTACTTTCAAAATGATCCCCCCCCAAAAAAAAAAACTCAAAGTAATTTGATAGGAGTTAGTATAATTACATGTTTGGGCTCTGAAATTACACAGATGTGCTTGAAAATTAGCTCTGCTGCAAAATGTGTGATGCTGGGCAGGTAAGGTACTTTCTCTAAGTTAGATTTCTCCATCCCTAAACTGATGAGAATAGTATTACCTGTGTCTTAAACCATTTTGTGTTATAGACTACTATAGACCGGGGTAATGTATAAAAACCAGAAACTTATTTTTCACAGTTCTGGAGGTTGGGAAGTCCAAGATCAAGGCACCAGCAGGTTTGGAGTTTGGGGAGGGGTTTGTCTCAAATGCTGAATCCTCCAGAACGGAGGAATGTTATTCCTCACACAGTAGAAGAGTTGAAGCAGAGAAAACCCACTCCTGAAAGCCCTTTATAGCAATGTTGATCCATTCAATGACCTAAACACCTCCTTTCCAACACTGTCGCATTGGAAATTAAGCTCCCAGCACATGAAATTGGAAGGGACAAAAAGATTCACATAGTAGCAACCTGCTTCGTAGGGTTGTCAAGAAAATTAAATGAACTAGGATGTGCAATATCACTAGCCCAGTACTTGGCAATAATACATGTTAAATTTATGCTCATCAATATTATCACTGAGATTTTGCTAAGATCATTTGACTACAAGGAGTGAGGCAGTCTACAAGTAGGAAAAGTTTGGGGCTCATGTAGGTTGCCTGGGGATGGCCCAAACCACCCTCACCTGGCTGGGAACTGCCCATGCCCCTCCCCACTCGTTCATTATTGGGTGGGAGTCTCCTGAGTCTGCCCTCCTATGGGGTAGTGTAGGTTTTAAAAACACCTAAAGAACAGAAACCTGCTCTCTCTGCCGGTGGACTCCACCTGCACCCCCTATGTATTTTCTTTCCTAACTTTTAATAAACTCCCTTTATACCCATGTGTTCTGCTTGGATTCTTCCATTTGGACCACAAGGACCAAAATGTTCTGAGAACGATTGCCTATAACAGGAGGAGGGACTTATTCACTCTTCTGGAAGTAAGGGTATTATGAGGATATTTGTGGAAATAAAGACACAAGGAACCTCCTGGGAAATCAGGAAGAGCTATTAATCAGGCCTCTTGGACACGAGACTCACTAGGAACTTGAAGCATTCAGAGAAGAGTCACTGTTTGAGTCATATTCTTGTTTCCTTGATGAGTTCAGGGATCCCATAACTGTGGTGACTCAGCGGCCCTCCATCTGTGCTGCCACCATTCCTGCTCTACTCAATAATTTCTCAACTCTGCAACGAATACCTTTAATTTCTGCTTACCTATGGCTTCTGTGTTTTTGTAACTGCTTAACCTTCCTTTTGTGTAACTCAAAACTTTAAGTTATTCACAATTAGTCGGTTCCACATGAAATTTCTTAAGAGACAGTGTCTGCCTGTCTCTATAGTATTCTTATTTGAACAGAAGCTCCGTGCTAAAGCACAAGCCACAATCCCATCTAAAAGAGGTGGCTTCAGAGTCAAATGCATGTTTCTGGTTCCCATCCAATGATGGGAGAATTAGATGTTGAGGAATAAGAAAGGACCAGGTATAGAACACAGCTACTTTCTCAGTAGGGTTACGGACTTCACAGTTTCCCCCAGAAGAGTGCTGTGTGTGGTTGGCTTGTCCATAAATTAAACCTTGGGTAAATTATATCCAGTCTCTTCAAAAGAGCCAACAAGGAATGTCTCGCTCTTTCTCCATTCATAGAGTTATTTTATTTTTATGCTTGGTTTTGAAGCATAACTTGAACTAATTTATGCAAACAGAGAATTTATGGGTTCAGAGGATCCAAGAAAGGATTTAAAAGTAAATGCCCATATCCCGTTTTCTCATATAATTTTCTGTCTTACTTTAAAATCATGCTCTTTTTCTTTCTTTTCTGATCCTGCAGACTCTAGCCTTGAATGGTATAGTGCTAGCTAACAAGCTGTTTCTGACTTACATAACATGGGCCCAAATGTGTAGGGTTTGTTTTTTGCTTCTCAAGGCTTCCTTCGAATTCCTTAAGCTCCCTTGGATTCTTAATGTTTTACCGCCTTTCATCTGAGGACCCATGTGTTTCCCTTTCTCTGTGTTTTTTTGTCTTCCATAGTTCAGGCAGCTTCTCCTTTCTTCTGAGCTTTATTTACCTCCACCAATTTCCCTACAGGTCTCTCCTTTTTTCTCCTCCATTATCTTAAATGGATTTCTGTGTTGTAGCAGATAATACTGTTTTTCTTTCCTAAACAAAGTTTCAAAGGACAGTCACTTATCTTCTTTCTTTCTTATTGGGGTTCAAACTCAGGGCCTCATACCTGCTAGGCAGGTGCTCTACCACTTGAGCCACTCTGCCAGCCCTTTTATGTGTTGGATATTTTTAAGATAAGGTCTTGCACAGGAAATCAATGTGAGTCAATGCTCTGTATAGCTATCCTTATCTCAACCAGCAAAAACCCTTATTCCTTCCTATTATTGCTTATACTCTCTCTACAACAAAATTAGAAATAATGGCAAAATAGTTTCTGCTGGGTATTGAGGGGGTGGGGGGGAGGGGGAGGGGGTGGAGTGGGTGGTAAGTGAGGGGGTGGGGGCAGGGGGGAGAAATGAACCAAGACTTGTATGCACATATGAATAAAAAAAAAAAAGACCAATTAGTAATAAAAGCAACCTGACTATGCAGAGGAAAAAAAAAAAAAAAAGATAAGGTCTTGCTTTCTGCCCCGGCTGTTCTCAAACCTGATCTTCGTGATCTCTGCCTCCCAAGTAGTTAGGATTATAGGCATGAGCCAGCTGGGTTTTTTTTGTTTGTGTGTTTGTTGTTGTTGTTTGGGTTTTGGAACAGTATCTTGCTAGGTAGTCCCTGCTTGCCTAAAACTCAGGATCCTCCTACGTCTACTTTACAATACCAGTGTTATAATTATGTATCACCACTCCGGCTCTCCATTATTTCTTGAACCGCATCTTCTTGATTCTTTCCAGTTTCTTCTAATGTCCCCTCTATATCCCTCTCTTTCTCGTATAGAACTAGTTGATTCCCCTGTTTTTAAAAGGGCAAACATTAACAGCTACTGCTTGTGTGAATTTCCTATGGTTGCTGTAATAAAATATCGCAGTCTGAGTACTTTTTTTCTCACAAATCTGGATGCTAGAAGTCCAAGACCAATCTGTTGGCAGGGTTTTTCCCTCTGAGGTCCCTCTTTGGCTTGTCCATGGCCAACTCTTCCCTATAGCCTCAGGTGATCTTCCCTTTGTGTGAGTTTGTGCTTAGTTGTGCATCTCATGAGGACAGCAGCCCTACTGAAGTAAGAGTCCACATAAGTAACCTCATTTTACTTAATTACTTCTTTAAAGATCCTAACTCCAGATATAGTCACATTTAGACTTCACCATCTGGACTTTACTGTCTATATTTTGGAGCAGACAATTCAGCCCATTACCTGCCTATCTTTTAAAAGCCAGTTCAAAATTATTATTCTCAGGTGGTTTCTTGAATCAAAAAGCCCACAGTGATTTGGTCCTTCTGGAACTTGGGTTAGAGCTACATGGAAGCACATGCCTGTGATCCCACCTGCTTAGGAGGCAGAGGTAGAAGGAGTGTGGTCCTTGGCTAGCTTTGGCAAAACAAAACTAAAAACCAACTAAAGCAAAAAGGTCTGGGAGTATGGCTCAAGTGGTAGGGCATTTACTAGGCCCTGAGTTCAATCCCCAGTACTACCACCTAAACAAAAAAGAAGAAAGAAAGGAAGAACTAAGAACTTGTATAGAAGTTATTCTTCCCACTTATCATTAATCAACCATGTGTTCAGATGTATTGTAACATCTGTTGTTTTGTTATACTAAATTATGATTTGTGCTATGACTGTGTATAGTAGTTGTACAGAGGGATATTTTGTGACACTTATATATGTGCTTATAGCATATCTTAATTAGATTTACCCTCTTCATTATTCTCCCTTGTCCCTCTTCCCCCCATTCTTAGAACAATTTCAACACATTTTATTGTTCTATTTTTATACACAAATACAAAATACATCCACCATATTCATTCTCTTCACCTTCTCTGTTTGCCCTCTCTCCTCCCACTGGTACCCACTTCTGGACAGAACCTGTTTTATCTTCCTTGTCCTTCATTTTTTAAGTGTTCAAGGGGGTTTTGCCTTGGTTTTTCAGACATGTATATCATGCTTAATCAGATTAACCCCCTCTATTACTTACTTTTTCTCTGTTGCCCTGCTCCCCTAGTGTTGTTAATTTCTTATGTTCTGTTGTATCACCCAAATAAGTTGAGGAGAAGATGAACCATACCTCCCTCTCTGGATCTCCATAATGTCTGGCATAGCACTTTGCATATAGTACATTCTCAATACATAAGTTTGAAAATTCAGTCAATATTTTCCCCCTTTCAATTCTCCTATGCTCAAG